ACATGAATGGGTAGAATTAAATGTAGCCTATAGCTTACCTAACATAATTATATTTTGTGCTTTATACTGTTTCAAAACGGATACATTAAAATAATCCAGCCTTGGCTCCTACTCACTAAAAGTCAATAAAGGTTATTAAGGCCAACTGCCATATGAACACATTGCTACCCCAGCACAACGAACTGTCAAGACAGGAAATGCAATTCAAAACATTCAAAATGGCCAGGGATCGACTCTTTCTCTTTTAAAAGAAAAAAAAAAGAAGACGAAGAAGAAGCACGGAGAAATTTCTCTCCAGTATACAATTCATCAGTACTTTAAAAAATGTTTACCCTGGAAATGATTCCAGAATCATTCCATTGGATTATACCAAATTGACTTTCTTTCTTTTTTTTTTTTTCAAGGTCAAAAGGAAATGAATAAATGTCATCAATTTAGAGGCTGTCACGCCTACCAGTCTTTTTTGTATCACTGTGAATTTGATAGTGTTAAAACATTTTTATAGGTAAAATAAATGTCAGTTTTGCAAAGCCCGATACCAGACCCTGAGAGACAAATGGCCTATCCATTGAATCTCTGGCTACAGCAAGACTTGCTCACCTCACAGGAGATTTCAGCTTTTCACATTTCTCTTTACCCAGAAAGCAAAGCTTGTACTGTTTCTTTCAAATGGTAACTCTCTCTTATCCTGAAGAGTCTCTTCATAATACACTAATCTTAGATGACAGAAATGGGTTGATTAAAAAAAAAAAAAACCACCAATATTTTAACAGTGTTTTAGTACCTTCCTGAATAAGGAGCAAAGAGGGGAGAAAAGGCTAGGCTAAATTCCTAGCTTATAAAATAGGGTTATGCTACTTTGGGCTTAATGGCTCATAAATTCATGAGGTAATATTCAGGGAAAATGTGATATTTTATCAGAATGCCATTCAAATATAAGGTTTAACATTTACATCACAAGAGCATACACAGAGTAAAATTATCCTGGGGGAGAGAAATGGAAAGACTAAACAGTATGATAAAAATGGTGCCTGATGGAATAGAGAGTAGGAAGCAGAGGCTGGGGGAGTTTTAGACACAGCTGACTAAACTTTTTGAAATATGTGACCAGTTATGACATGCAAAGCAATTACCATTAATGGAAGAAAGGCGATTTTAAAGCTCCTTTTCCATTCTTCTTCTATATCTTACCTGAGACTACAGCGTCCAATTGCAAAGTGAAAAAAAGAACACAAAGACTGAGAGAAATTACAACACAAGTCTCTTCTCTTGTACAAGGGCTGCCAAAGGCTGTTTTGCTCATAAGCAAAAGGTGAAAAGTAATGCACATATTGCCTGAGGTTTTTTGTTTTATTTTCTCACCAAAAGAAATCGATGCTGTGTTGCAGAACAGACAAAATGCATTTATTAGAGGATTCTTTCCACAACACACACATGTAATTCTACAATTCAGGCAAAGCAGAAACAGAAAGAAGAATCGTTCGTCGAAAATGATCATAATTTGGGGTAATATAGTGCCTGGGAGCAAAGTGAGTAAGTACATTCAGAAATGCCTTTTAGATTAGTCTAATTCTATAGAATCCAAATGTGCACCAAACACTGCACTTTTTATGTTAAATTGCTGTTGAATTTGTTAACCCACAACTGATTTCCTGTGTTGTGGAATCTTGGAGATTACAGCTAACTTGAAGCAACAGGGATAATTCTTGACAGTTAATGGTACATTTGTATGCATTTTCCTGAAAGGCTCAGTAGAATCTTGGAGCCTCAAACTGGTAGCTCAACATTGCCCCCTACTGCTTACAACTGAAAAAATATGAGGCAGGCTGCTAAAAACCCGTTGCTGAAGAGTCAATTCCAACTCATAGCGACCCCTATATGACAGAGTAGAAATGACCAAAGGGTTTCTGAGACTGCAATCTTTACAGACGCAGACTGCCACATCTTTCTCCTGCAGAGTGGCTGGCAAGTTTGAACCACCAACCTTTTGGTTAGTTAGTAGCTGAGCTCTTAACCACTGCACCAGCAGGGTTTCCTGGCAGGGTCCTAAGGCAGTACCCATTCCATGGTCAGGATGCCAATACCAGGTGGCATTACACTAACAAAGCCACAGAACTGTCGACCTCTCCAGTGACTGACTATTCTCTTCTGTCTCTCTAATAGCAAAAATAACTTATTATGAATTTGTTAAAAGTCATTTCAAAAGCCTTGAAGCAATGCTTACATTTCATTTAGAAGTAGTATCCCTTTTATCTTGGCTCAAATCTTCACTTCATTGATAATGACATCCTGAGGCTGTGGAGGACAGACCCTGAGACCATTGATTTCCCTTAGAACAGTTAGTAACATCACACCAATTGCAAGGAAACACACTTTGGAAAATTCCCAAGATTGCAGTTCTTTTCAGGATTTTCCACACAAGACAAAAATAAATAGAGGATATTCCCTCTGACGAACGTGCACTGCCACCAAATAAAAACATAGCTAACTCTAATCAATGAACTTCACTGGCGAGCTCACAATACCAAAGATTTCACTTAAAAAACAGAAACAAAAGCCCTTGAACAAAAGCAATTTTATTTTTCTACAGAACCAGTAATAGTTTCTCTCTTAATTTGCTTGTCAACTCTAATGCACAGAGTTGTCAAATTACAATTCCAAACTCAAATTCACATCTTAAAGTTAAGATGCTACGAGTAAAGATGATCTAACTTACTTGTAAATGGACAAAACTAGAATTATACACTGCAAATTAAATCATTTCCAGGTTCTCCGAAACGGAAGTTGCCTTTATACATCTGTCCCATAAAAATGGAGCACACTCTATGCAGGCTGGGTTTAGAAAAAGAACTAACTATGGGGTCGCTATGAGTCAGAATTGACTCGACAGCAATGGGTTTTTTTGAAGGGAGATGTGGGCACAGACTTCACGCCACCTCCAACTGAGTTCTACAACGCACAGTTTTGCAGAACTGGGAGAAATCATTTTTTGTGACACTGTCAATGCACTAAAAGAAGGATTATAACATTTCTTTCCCAGAACATATGTCCAGAAAAAGGCATTGTTTAAAGATTTGAAGAGATGTCTATAAAGTGGGAACTTCTGGATTCAGATCCAGACTTTCAAAAGATCAAGGGTTTTCATTTGATATTTTTATTAATATAAAACAGGGATTAGCAATCGCTACCCATTTTTGCAGATAAGGTCCTTGTTTCCAGTACATTTCAAATCCGGTGAGTTTAACAGGCTTTTATCACTTTCCCACCACATTCCACATTCAACTGTTTAGAGACAGAACAACAGGTGGTGAAGGGCAAGGTCTGTCACCTATTAGCCATATGACCTTGAAGAAGTTACAGAAACTTTTTGTGCTTCAATTTACTCACTTGTAAAATGAAGAAAAAAATAATACCTCCTTTATAGGGTTGTCATAAAAGTCAAGTAAGTTATATGGAAAATACTTAGAATAGTGTTTTAGAATAAATAATTATTATAGCATTAATATCATCAAGTTGTTACTCAAGTTTGCTATTACTATTATTTAAATTAAGATAATTCAAGACCTCCAAGTGGCCTCCATTTGTTTTCTGGCTGTGGTTAAGCACTTGGTTGCTAACTAAAAGACAGGTGGGTTCAAACCCACCAGCTGCTGCTTCAGGAGAGAAAAGACCTGGTAATCTGCTTCTATAAAAATTACAGCCTCGGAAGCCCTATGGGGGAGTTCTACCCTGTCCTATAGGAATGCTATGAATTAGAAATGACTCCATGGCACACAACAACAGTTGCACTGGACTTCCACAGTCTTGAGTTTGTTTTTATAGTTCCTGGAGCTCACTATTCCCTTCAAATGCCCTGCCCCGCCCCACTTGACCCCTCCCCATCCAAGGCCCCTAAAAGCTACATATGATGTTTCATAACGGCCCCAACTTCAGTGGTCTGAATTTAATACTCCCTCTTCTGGATTTTTGTTGTTGTTGCTGCTATTTTGTTTTAAATACCTTTTATACAAGATGTCACTGGAGCTAATGTACACCCAGTTATATTCACATCTCCCTCTTTGCTAAGTTATTTTAATGGAGTGGTTAGGAGCAGAAGCTCAGAAGCTAGGCTATCTGGGTTTCAATCTCGCTCTGCCACTTACCATGGTACCTTGGGAAAAGCACTTAATTTCTCTGTGCCTCAGTTTTCACTTCCATAAATTAAGGTTCATGACAGGTTCTACACCTCACAGGACTGTTATAGGGAATGAAAAAGTTAATACAGGGAAGACTCTTCGAATAGCGCCCACTGCATGTTGTTGCTGTTAGTTGCTATTGAGTTGATTCCAACCCATGGCAACTGTGTATGTGCAGAGTAGAACTGCTCCATAGGGCTGTCAAAGCTGTAACCTTTTGGAAGCACATCTTCCAAGGCATTTCTGGGTGGGTTCAAACCGCCAACTTGACAATCTTCCAGTTAACAGCTGAGTGTTTAAGCATTTGCACCATGAAAGGATTACTGCCTACTGTACATATAGAAATGCAAATGGATTTTAGATATTATCATTGTATTCTCCCCTCCTTGCCACTTCCCAGCATATGTCAAGCACAGTGCCTTAGACGTAGGAAATATTCAATAAATGTTCATTGAGTTGAACAGAAATATTGACAAAATCTTGGGCCATCCCACTGTCTTACCAAGAATAACCTCATTCGGTAATATGGAAACTCACTGCCGTCAAGTCGGATTCGACTCATAATGACCTCTCCTTGGGTTTCCAAGGCAGTATCACTATGGAAGTAGATTGCCCAACCTTCCTTCCCAGGAGCGGCTGATGGGTTTGAACCACCAGCCTTCGGGTTAGCAGTCAAATGCCTTAGGCACTATGGCACCTGAGCTCCCATTCAGCAATATAGAATAATTAAATATGTATTTGCCAATGCCAATTAAGCAGTGGAGAATTTGTACAGCATATAGCATAGCATACGTAAAATATGGCCTCCAGACCTCATGTACTTACCACACGTTCCATCTTCTTCCACAGTCCTTCTAGCTGAGTCATGGGTTGACACCACCAATCAGTGCACTTTTTGTATCTATTGCCTTGAAACCAAAACTGTCTCAGCCACTCAAATTCCACCTGTGGACCATAAAGAGAAGGCAGTGGTTATAATGTCCTTGTGATGAACAAGCAAGGACAGTGACTTCATCACTCAATTTTCCTCCAGGAACTTAACAGCCAGAGGGTGAGGAAAGGTGAGAAAAGCACAGCCGAACAGGATCCCAATATAACTCTGAGTCTCAAGAGCATTTTTGCAAAGCCAAGCAAAGAGAAACCTTAAGCTGTGATCCTCTTGTAAGACAGCCTAGCTCAGGACTGAAAGGGGTTTCTGACCACCTTCATTAGTCATATGGGAGAAAACTGAACATAATCAACAACAGAGGTCTTAAAGTAGACAGCAGCCGGCACTATGTACAATGAGAAGATGTAATCAAACAAAAGATGTTTTTTTTTATTAAACATTTATTAAAGACTGATATTTAAGGCGAAATATAGACACATGTTAGAATATACCAATTTTTAGTTCCTTAGTTCTAAAATAAATAAAGAATTTACTCGTGGACCAGGAAAAGCTGATGATGATCTCAACTCATATAACAATACAAAATAAATTATGTAGGCACACATTAAACCTACAGAATCACCCAAATTGTTACTTGCAACTTCAGTCAGGGCAAATGACAACAGACATAAAGAGTAACAAATATATTAGTATTTTTTTTTTCCTTCCTATGAACCTACTATAGAAAATTTTTATTGTTTGCCTTCTTAGAAGTCCTCCTTCTTCAAGAAAACCCCCTGCTATTCATTTGGTAACCAATCCCTTCCCCAGCCTTAGTCCATGTAGGCTAGACAGATCTCCAGAGCCAAGCCAGGAGAAGAATGTGCAATCTAGTTCTAATCCAACCTAAGCCACCATATTTCTTTGGTCACAGAAGTGTGTAAGGGGAAAAGAAACATATGTTCAATCAGAAAATGTCTCAAGATTTTGTCAGAAGATACAGGAAAAGAGTTCTGCAGCCATTTTGCCAACAAAAGGGGAAAATAGTCAACATAGTAAGAAGAAGCTACAAGATGAAAAAATAAAAACCAGATCCTGGTGACATCAACTGACCCTTGATCAATCTATTCCTGAAGTCCTTTTTTACTCAAGCCAATTGAAGTTGAGTTTTCTCTCCCTTGCAGCAACTGAAATAATCCCAATATATTTAGATGAGAGGCTTTGGAAAGATAAGACATGGCTGACTATCTATTTTCCAAGTCTTCTATCACTCATCTTTAATGTGAAAATCAGACTTTACCATCAAAGTACAACTCTACCTCAAAAACTCTTTTCACCTCTACCCTCTAAAGAAATGTAGAGCTCCCAGAGCTTAATGCTAGGTCTGACTTTGCTAAGGTAATCATGTTCCACATTCAGACTCAGAACTATTATAATCTTCACCTGTTACCACAAAGAATTTTTTTGTTTGTTTATCCATATTGAACTTTCATGAGGCAAACAAAAGCAACTTGTGAAGATTTAACAATGGTAAAAATGGCTCAAATAACTAACCTGAGAACATTAAGTCATATGAAAAGGTTTTAGTTTACATTAACTAAACGTTTGTTGGAAATGTAGAACTGATTTCAGTTAAAGCTGTTTAAACAAAAAAAAAAAAGTAAGGAAAAAGAATGTAGACAATATTAAGACAACAGTTGTTAAACTTTATCTACGGTTTTGAAAGACAGTGGTTAACAGGAGTAAAGTTGAGCACTCTGAAAGAATGAATACAAGTGTGGTTCACTTTCTGTGAAGATACAGGCTTAACAACATCTTTATTAACAAGAGGAAAAAAACTCTTTTTTAATGGATTTCATGTGAAAGTTTTTTCACACTACAGGAATAGGCTGTCAGCATAGCATCAAGCCTCAGGTTAGGTAGAGCTGAAAAGATTTTAAAAGACTCTCCTATATTGAGGTTGGTTATTTCCATTGAAGAAGACAAAAACACATAAGCCAAGGCAACCAGGGTATCCAGGAAATAAGAGAGACTATCATATGTAATTACAGGTTGTTCCCGACTTATGACAGCTTTCTGTTCTGATGACTCTGTTGTAAGTGGGTTCTGATCTAAGTTGAATACCTCATTTTTTTTTTTTTTTTAGTTTTCATTATTAATGCCTTTTTTTAAAATCAGTATCTTTATAAATCCTATCTTTATTTGCCTTTGGGAGTTGGAAACAATTATATATAAACATCTCAGAATGATAACATCAGCAAATAATGCACTGCAACATTGTAAAAAGTAAAAAACAGAAGGTCATACATGTTGTCAGGTTATCATAGCTTGAACACATGGCAAGTTGGGAACTACCTGTAGTTCATTCAGCCTATCAGGGTACACTGCAGTCTGGATTTTGGTAAATGAACTCAGAAGCAAGGAGAGGGGCATACCCAGAGGCTTTGCTACCAGACAAGACAGCAAAAGAGGAGCCCTACCTATCTTAATAAATAATGACTTCATCTTCTCCCTCAGATGGCCAACTATCTTCTGAGGTATTGTTAAGAGTAACGGCTCTGGAATCATTTAAAATGTGACTCCACTACTGAATAATTATATCATCTGTAAAATGTGGATAATTACATAATAATCACATAGGTTTGTGGTGAGGACTAAATGGGTTAATACACAGAAGCATTCAGAACAATGCTTGATAAATGTTGTTGTTATGTGCTGTCGACTTGGACCTGGCTCATAGCGAGCCCTCCTTGGGTTTCCGAGGCAGTATCACTACAGAGTAGATTGCCCAATCTTCCTTCCCAGGAGTGGCTGGTGGGTTTGAACCGCCAGCCTTCTGGTTAGCAGTCAACTGCCTTAGGCACTACTCTACCAGAGTCTGATAAACAGTATTCAATATTGTTAGCAATTAATTACTATATTTATTTTAGAGTTAGTACTTTCTCGATTGAAGTATTTTTAACTTAGTATGTGTATTTAGCATGTAGTAGCTGATTTTACACATCTATATAAACATATGTACAAACACACACATACTCATATACACACACATACACCCAATTAGATGCTAAATTTAAAGCTGGATATATAAACTGAACAAGGCCTAGAACATAAAGTCCCCAAGAACATCACAATCTTGTGAAATTTTCTGAGCAAGAAAAGTTTTAACATCCATTTAAATTCATGTCCACGCTGCTTGCATTAATTCCAGTAAGAAAAGTTCGACACTGAGGTCCTACTCCCAACAGAGCTTTATTCATGAGCTGAAGCACTGCCCAGGAGATACAGTCTTGGTGGGAATCAAATCCATGGCCTGCGTTTTACTCAACTCCATTACCTGACTTTTCCATTTGAATGTTGTGAGTAAGAAAATGCTACAGAATTTTAATCAAATGTCCTCACCAGTTCCCCCATTGCCAAGAAAAGTAGTTGGCACCTTTCTTAAAATTATTCAAAGAAGCAAAACATGTTTCCAGCAGCTTGATTCAGAGTTTGAGGGGTTTTTTTTTTTTCTTTTTTAAAAAAAAAGAAAGAAAAAAAGGTTGTTAGGTTTTTTCTTTTCCTAAACTCTAGGAATTAGGAAGGAAAGGAGTAGACTAGACATGGCACAAAAACCAAAGGACCAGGACAAGCAATACAATGGCAGCCCTATTACTTTAGGGCTAAAAAAAAAAAATCAAAGCCTAACTGTACTGACCGACTGATAAAGTTCTAGCCATGATAGAAGTAGGGTCTTCATCTCTTCAGAGTGTAGCCCCTCTGGGGAGGCTTACAGCTAACAGAGCAGAAATAAGAGACAAGCCGTCAGGAGGGCAGCAGCTGACTTGAGGCTAAGGAACACTCCAGGGGTAATGCAGATTCCCTGGAGACCTTAGAAACAGAAAGATGATGTGTGGGTTCCCTCAGCTGTCTTCCCTCAGAGTCTGATTTCAGACACGCACTTAATGAAAATTCACTATTATCCAATTATTTGAGCAGTTACAGGTATAATTAATGTCCATGGACCTCAGAAGGCAGAACGGCAGCCCAAAGGATCTATAGAATCCTCTGATTCTAAAGGGCTTTCTAAATCATCAGAGAAAAATAAAAACATGTTGATAGTTTTAGTATCATAGTTGTGACCCCAAAATCCATCTCTGTAGACCTCTTCACTGTATTTCCTTTTCCGTGAACTACTCAAAAAAGTATTTCGGAATATGATGGCACAAACAAACCATGGTTCCGACTCTCCCCCACAAATACAAGAAAAACAACAAAATGGTGTTCAGTTTTTGAGGAACTCTGAACCAGGGAGCAGAGGGAAGCAGTGGGGAACTGCAGAGAGGCAAGAATCAACAAATCAATGAGTCACACATGGTAGGAAAATTGCTTCTTCCCCCACTGTCCCTGCCCCTAACCCACCATGTGGGCTGTAGGGTGCTGTGAACTGGGGTAGTGGTCCCAAAAAAAGAGCCTAATTCCCTAACAACTAAAAAACCAAAATCACTGCCATCGAGTCAGATCCAACTCATAGCAACCCCTCCATGGGTTTCCTAGGCAGTATCACTATGGAAGTAGATTGCCCAACCTGCCTTCCAAGGAGTGGTTGGTGGGTTTGAACCACCAGCCTTCTGGTTAGCAGTCAAATGCCTTAGGCACTATGCCACCAGAGATCTTATCTAATGACCATAGTCCCTGCCTACATAAAGAGACAGCACTCAAAGCATCTGCCCTAAAATCAATAAGGTGTACCTCCCCAAAGGTCTGTTTTGAATGTGCAATCATGTCCCCCACCCAGACCCTGTCAGTTGCAAGCCTACTGTGAATTGCTAAAAAAAAAGGTCTGTGTAGTGGAGTCTACTACCAGTCAACACTCTACCAGGCTCCTGTGCACCCCACAGCTCAAGCCTCTCAAACCAACAGGATAGATCTCCCAGGGAGTCACTTTTGGTCTGTGTGCCCAAAAGGTCAGTGCTAAGGATGGCTGACTGAGGGCTGCTGTGTGCTAGAAGCAGGCATCTTTAGTGGAGGCTACAGCCACAGCTAAAATACTACAGGGAGGGCTCTGAGAGCAATAAAGCAGCTATCCCTGAAGATC